GAAAGATTTATAAATGTTGTTTAGATCCTCATCAGACCATAAATATAATTGAATCTTTCATATACAATCTACTTTTATTGCCATAATATATGTTATCTTAATACTGTTGAAGCAATTGTTGGTTTCTTTTTATATCTGAAAAATAATTAAATCTGGTGAATAATGATTGATTATTATTCTATTTATTGTTTAAGGACGCAATTCTTCTCAGCGTAATGTAACGGCCATGTTTATTTTTCCAAAATGTATACACAGAAAACAAAAACATTCGGGTCGTGTGTATTCAGAAATACTAAGAAGGGAAAATGTATACGCATCCACCGAAATTTATGCCGCCTCCTCCAAGTTCTGTTATCGCCGCAATAAATTTGAATTTGTTTGCGGCCTCGTTTTTCACGCGAGAGAGAATACTCGTTTTCAAAACTTCATGGTTTCGGTTTTAATTGAGAGTTACTACGGGCCATCCATTTTATCGTCGCAACTTCGTCTATTCTACTAATTGGTCGACAAGTCTTGCTTGTTGTTAAATTGTTTTGATCGTGAAATATTAAAGTGAACTTGGAGTGAAATCTGTGAATTAAGCCCCCTTATTTAACAGTATATAAATTACTACTATTGGTGAGTGTTACAGAATGAGCTTGATAAAACAGCATAAAATAGTTTGAGATACATAGTAAGTTAGAATATTTTAATCAGACGGAATATTTGTTAAAAATATTCCATCATGAAAAGACGCATACCATAATTACCAATTTTTATGGTAAAGAGTTGTTGCATCATAAAATTTAAAAAGAAGTGAAAGTAAAATAACAGCCTATAAATGTCCCTGCTGGGTAAAGACCTTCTCTGTACAGAGGGTATCAGGGCATAGTCCACCACGCGACCCCGCTGCGGATTGGCGGACTTCACATATTTTCGAAATATTTTCCTCACGATGTTTTCCTTCACAGCACGTGATAATTCAGCACTTAAATTAACAATTTCTTGGTGATGGCACCGGGGATTGAGCTCAGGTTGCTCAAGTAAATGAAATTAAAGGCGAGGGCCGGAATACTGAGCTATCACGGCTCTAAAAAATTTAACACATGCATTAATAATCAAAGCGAGAAAGTAAGCAATACCACTGTTTGGCGGTAAATAATATACATTTTTAAAGACTATACAATAAAAAAAACATCAATCTAAGAATCTAGCACCGAAAGTTGTACGACACTGACAATCTGTTAAATAAATTATTTTGTGCATCGCGTATATTTGAAAGTCAGCAAATCAGTGAAGGAATTCGTCGGTCGCGTGTGTACGGTTAACTAAAGAGACAATAAATACGCTTTTATCGCTATTTTAATAAATGCTCATGGAACCACCACGGAATACAAACTAGACGACGCGAAGTTTTATCTTCAGAAGTTCCCCTTGCGACGTCGGATAGGAGCGTCTTATGGCTTCCACGCGGGTGTCTAATTTAGTGTTTCGTGCATATTCATTGGTTTAAAGTAAGCGCTAGGGATTCGCATTTTAAAATACTTAAAAAATATTTAGCAGCAACAAAGGCGGTGAGAGATTACGATAATCAAATCGATACTTCCTGGGCCATGGATGTAGTAAAGCATTCAAAAGGGGTAATACATTTAACTCACCATCATCATATCAGCTTATTAGAGTCCACTGCTACACATTCCTTCCCCACACTGTGTCGAAGCACGATCTTGAGCTACCTACATCCATCGGCTTTCCGCACCCTTGCACAGGTCACACGGTCACAAAAATCAAAATCAAATCATTTATTCATCGAAATAAGAAATTCATCTGTCGATAGTCATTTTTTAAATCTACCACCGTTTCCTAATGAGGTTACTCTAACGGAGAAGAAACAGGCGAAAGAAACTCCGTAGGTATCCTCTTTTTTGACATTTTTTTTTTCAAACAATTACATTGTTATACAGTAGGTACACAATTTTTTTTTTTTTTTTTTAGATACAGCTTAGCAGCGATAATCTCATTCCCAGGGATTGTTAGCATTAATTTATTCATTTATATTATAATAATCCTTTTAAAACAGTTTTTCTTTAATAAATTTCTAAACCCTAACCAATTATCCTTCGATGGCCCATCAGTTATCGATCTTCGAGCTATATAGGGCCCATTGCCCCTTTATATTTCAAGTAGTATTCAACACTACGAAAATCTTTATTTCCTATTCGCTAATTTTCCTTTGTTTAAAAACATACACACATTCTTTTCAAGAAAAGAAGCCTCCGTTGTAAAGAACGGCTAAGCCAAAGGAATTTGCATGTTCCGTCGAAAGCTTTCATAACTATCAAAGCTAACACTTTATGAAATTTTAAGGCACTTCCAGCATTACAAAGGACTGCATGTAGCCATTGTTGGTTAGTGCTCTAACGAGACCGGTTCATATTAACGTCTTTGTTTCATTAATGCAAAGAAATGGCCAGAGGGCGGACTGAGTTTCCCCCGAAGCTATGTTATATTCTCGTAATAATCGATGACGAGTGCAATTTCAAGAACAGAACGTTCGTGAGGTTGTTTTAGAATTAACACCATGTAGCCACACTAGAATTTAAAATGTAAAATGTAATTTTAACTATTACAATTTAATTTACTTTATAGGGAAATGCAGTATCGTTCGTTAACCGAGGTGACGATAGTTCGATAGTTGGCAAACAAATTTTTGTGTGACACAGACTCTTAGGATTATTTATATTGTCGTTCATGAACAGTCGTCTCTAGTATAAACGGCAACTATAGTCGCGGAGCTTGCGCAAAAAATAAACAAGGAGCCGTGCTAAAAGTAAGTGTACACGAACTTGAGTAGATAAAATATCGCAAGGCATTATCTACAAAGTAGCTCCGGGGCGATTTCTATAGGGCGTCTGAAGTGTAGGGGCGCGTAGCTACCTACTCGCACATGTAGCTTGTACAAAGTAGGGGTAGTGATTCATCAATTGTGCAAAGTGCCACTTCATATTCAGTCCGTTTCACTGTCGCGTCCGCTTTGCCGCCTCCAAATGAACGCTGATTGGATGATCCGCCATTTTAATTTTTTACTTTTTTTTTCACAGCCCGATAGGCTTTTAATAATTGCGAAACGGATACCGAGAGTTAATATTTCGACAAGTGCTTGTGTGTCAAAAGAGGATTTGTTTGATGAATTTTCATTCGTTTCGTAGCTTTTTCGACATGAAACGTTTGGCATTTGGTTCGGTGATAACGGATTTTGTATGAATGTTGTTTTGGCAGTCAACAGGAGCTGGAAATACACCATGCATTTCCAACTCAAAACGGACGCTTAATTTTTTTTATTAAACACCATACTTTTTATTAAATACATATTTTTTATTAAATACATAGTTGACTATTTTGTAACATTTTATGAATGGTATTTCCCATAAGCGTCTTTGTGATGTATGATAGATTAAGATACATTTGTTTGACGACTTTTTGGACATCGTAGTAGTAAAAGATTAAACTAAAAATTCGAGAATAAATAATGGCTTGCATAAAATGTATAGTTATTGTATACAAGCCATTATTTGATTTCTTATTTATATTTTTGAAAGAAGAATCCTTATATTGCGATGATACATCAGCAGATTGAGATTGTAATTTATTAATTATTAAGTAAACATCTTATTTATTAACCAATTTTTAAATCTAAAGTATTATGTAAAATAAGTTAATAAGTATTATGTTCTTTAAGTTCTGACTTATATCATAAACTATTGATCATAAAATGTTTAAAATAAACGTCTAGTAATCATTTTCTCCATCAATGAGAGCCGAAAACGAAATAACAACATAGTAACAAAGAAATCAATAACAAAGTAAATAAAATAAAATTATCAAAACCATGATGGCGCACTGCATTCTAAAAGTTCTTTTTTGGCTAAGCAAATAGAGTTACTTGGATAATTTGACGTCACTGTCCGCCCTCTGGGAATAGAACTAACATCTGGGGTGTACCCATCCATAAGGACTGTGCAGTGTTCCGGGCTGCAATTGAAATTAGAATAATAAGATTTTCCTTTCAGATGCATTTGAAATTTTGATGAGCAAACATTAAAAACCTCTTCTTTACATTTTTTTAAATGTAATATCTTTGTATAAGTGTGATATTTTTATTTTACACTTGCTAAAGTAAGAGTAAATTTTATTAAAAAATACAACATGCATATTGTTTTTATTTAAAAGTATTGATGATGAGATTCGAATTATTTTGTATTGAACCATAATGCATAATATGCAGGTAAAAGTATCGAACAAAGAACAATACTAGTGCGCGAGAGACCGATTATTCGCTCTACTCTTGTCTACTTATGTTTTTAAGGTTTCATTAACATTGATTAATAATATTCGATGGCACAGTTGCTAAGCTATTGGCTTCGATGCCGGAGGTCGTAGGGTCGATTACCACACGGGAAAAGTACCTATGCGTGTGAGCCACAGATAAATTTTCGGTTCTGGGCGTTTGTTCCCAAGGGGACGTCAGGGATGCTGCGGCGTAGGTCTAAAACGTAGCCAATACTTTTAACAACATGATTCGCATCTTATGCCGACACCACCTGGGTGGGATATGGGCAGGAGAATGAAGATGATGAGTTAATAATACGCTACACAGCGCTGAAGTTACTAAAAGTAATAAAAATTAAATTGATATTTATTAGTGTCCCGTACAAAAAGGTAAAACGGGACCCTAGTCTGTCTGTCCGTCTGTCACCAGGCTGTATCTCGTGAACCATGATAGTTAGACAGTTGAAATTTTCACAGACGATGTATTTTTATTGCCGCTATAATAACAAATATAATGGAATCCTCGCACTTGGCCGGATTTTCTTAATACTTAGACATCGCAATTAAACGGTGATCTTATATTTCCTTCAGGTGTAGTGCAGAACACATCATTTGATGTTGGTTTGACCTCCTGGATTATGAACGTCATATTTTGAAGCTCGACAATAACTTGCAGCGTATCTTTGTTTCAGGACTAGACGCGGAGCTGTACTACGTAAGGGACGGCGTGGTGAACACGTATGCGACGAGTTTCATAGTACCGGTGCCTGCTCACATGACCGATTTGGAGTTTATGTGGCAGGCGTTGGGCAGGAAACCGGTGAGTTGACTTTTTTTCACCCTGATAACATTGACAGTATACAGCAGCAGTGTCGGTATTGGCAGAAGGCCGAAGAATAATCCTGGTAGGGCTCCTGACCAAACATCCTAAGGCGGCATGCCGGCTTCTGAACTGCGGTGCGGAAATCAAGAAAGAAACTACTGCACGATTCAATCTACTGGGATGCTGAGACAAGAGCCTAGCTCTTAAATTAAAGAAGAACACAACATTGGCAGAGATAGGTGTTAAGTAGTGGTAACCACCGTTCGTGGACGTGTACAACACCTGTGAAGTTTCAGAAGCGTTGCCTTTAAATTATTGAACCCTAGTAGCATTTTCATTGATTGACGGCGAGTTTGACTAAATACAGAACTTATGATGCATTCATGTAGGATTAAAACCCACAAGCCCAGTTCAACATTATGTAAGCCTCTAAGTATTACATGTACATAATTCAGTTTTTTTTGCGAAATATATGTGTATAACTAATTTGTACCCGCGACTTCATCCGCGTTGTTTATTGTATTACTATGATTGTTTAGCCCACTTCTTAACGGCGAGAAAATACATCACGTTGTGTTTATGAATATTGATGTTTCTTAAAACCGATTAATAAATGAAGATATCACAATATATTTTTACTGTGTATTGGAAATTAAACTAAAGAAATAATTTAAATACATATAGTAGGTTTTCCGTGATGTGCGCATAACGTTGGATCTCTATAAGTTTTTTTATAGATAATACTGAAGTATAATGAAAATAAAATGCATTATTATATTAGGGTATACTGGGATATATTTGTGTATTATTCAAAGTTTATTAATTTTATTAGTTTAATTTTCCAGCACGATCACGAGCTTTAAGTGTGGAATTAAATTAAATTTCATACAAATGGTGTTAACACAATTGCCTTTATTACTTCTCTACGACACAGTTGAACAGTTTTATATCGTTGCTTCAAAACAATGGAACAAAGGCAGAACTTTGTTGTTCGGACAATTTAATAAAATATGTAATGTTATTTCCATAGATTGTTCAAAGTTGCATCTCCTGTAGTGTAAGAGGTAATTTCATGTTTTGCTGATTTATTAGATACAGAAAAACCAGGTCAAATAAATTTGTTACTACTGTCTTAAATATGCTACGAAAAATAAACATGCTGAAAAATTACGTTATTTGTGTGATTAATAGCTATCGATATATATTTATAAAAAACGTTCGATTGAAATTTTAATAGTTAATTTAAAACAATAGATGCAGCGTGAGGGACTGTTTCATTACTCCATATTTACATTTTTAAACATTTAACGATTTTAATGTACGTATTAACTGCAGATAGTAACAGAAATTTGCATAATTTGAATATTTGAATTCACGATTGTGACCGAGTTCAGCGGAAACCCAAACAATGTCAACAATTTTTTTAAAACTCACGCTATTTTGACTTGTGGCAAACATTGTAAAACTAACATGCGCGAAGTCCGTCGTCGAATTTGTTTTTATTCGACAAACAGCAGTTCAATTACGGGGGCGGTAATTGTATCTCTTGTTGTCTCCGCACTTTCCAATTTGGCTTCGGAGCGATTTAATTTTGAAAAACAAAAGAACGGGATTAAGTCTTCGTTTTTCAAACGCTGAATAGGCTCTATTTTGGGCGATAAGTTTTTGAAGTTACGTCGATGTTGCCAACACCAGTTTCATTTCGGAAGGTAATTAAGTTTCGTGTACCCGAGCCCTTAAGCCGTTGCATTATGTATCGTAATGCGAAAATGTGTTGAATAGGTGCTGAGGCAATTTTAAAAGCCTGCCAGTCATGCTGCTAATGAAGTCGGCCCCGTTGTTCCATTGTTTTGGATGTGCGACGTTAAGCTGTTTGTCAAGCAACTAGCAGCATATTAATCAAAACCTTTGTGGTAGCAAAACTCTGAAAGGCTCTGAAATTTACGAAAGATTTCGTTCCTGGTTTTTAGTCATAAACGCGTTTTTATATTAAAAGGTTTTAAAGTTAAAAAATTGAGAATAAAGTTGGGAATTTACGAAATATTTAAAGGTCACTTGGTAAAGTGTATCTTCTGTACATGAAGAGACAGTGTAACAAATATACATTGATTTGTTGCACTAGTATTTTTTGAATCTACGCATCTTCAATTTTCATTGAATATGTAATTTTGAAACTATGAAAAATTAATAAATTATTTAAAGTTTTTAATCGTAAATTTGACCTAAAATTTTGAAATTAGTTGTTGTTGCATTATTCTTGATCAAAAACCAGTTTTCTGCGAGTCAGGATCGATCGTGTGTCGCCGCCATTACTCTGAAGCGAGCGTGACGTATTAAACTCAAAAAATGTAGAAATGAAAACGGTTTGATTGCGTGGAAATGCCAGTGCGAAATTATGCGTATATCGCTCACGCGCTGGGGCGCCGTGTAACCGCCGTTCATTATTCCGCACAGTTGCCGTACGTGATGGGTATAGACTACGAGAGCCGAGGCGCCATGCTGCCGCCGCAGGTCAATATCTCCGAACGAGGCTACGTCCCGACCACGCTGCAGACTTTTAGGTAGCCTGAATATATTTTTTATCTGTTGTCTTTGCGAAACGATTGTGCCGCACCAAATTTGTAAACAAGATGGCTGAACTTTAATGAACATACTTCATCAGTAATGAATATATACTATAATGTATTAGTTTTGTTCTCTATATAACATCCGTTAAGTAATTTATAAATAAAAAATATTTTAATTTCTAAATTTTAGAAAGGACCAAAACAATGTTGGAGCTAATTTTTAACATCGGTTAGGATGATATAAATGATAACAGAATTTATTGGAACACTTTATTACACGATTGATATATAATAATAGACTATGATATGATATGATAATTTGAGAAAAAGTGGTTTGCTTGATGACCGAAGGCGAACTAACTGCCTGCAGCTATTTGTTACAACGGTAAACCGTATATTTGAAACTTATCAACGGTAAACCGTATATATTCTAGCGATAGTAAAATATAAATATCATCATCACATTACAATGTGATGATGATATTTATATTTTACTATTAATAATAATTTTAGAATTTATAATACTAACGCATCGTAGAAGTTAACTAATCAGATCAATCATTCTGATCAATTCAGAGAGTTTAACTATCCTTTTAGCAACTTAAATAATATTTGAATAGCCATTTGAGAGCTGATTAGTTAACTTCTACGATGATCAGTGTTAAACCCCAGTCAGTATCCCAAGTAAACGCTGTACACAATTTTATTATTATAAATTTATTCTTTTTAGGGTTCGATTGCCGTGTACAGGAACTAGAAGTGCTGAAATCTTAGTAACTATGCAACTGAACATTTCCGCTCCGGATCGGGCCCACAAAGACGTCAAACTCCTGTTCAAAAGAAATAAAATCTGCTTAAAAGGTTAGTATTGGTATTACAAGTACGCATAGCTTCTACTTCTACGGTTCTACGTCTAAGGCAGAAACCTTGATTGGCGTCTGCCTCTGGGCCTACGATCAGAGCGAGCAGTTGTGTCAAATTGTCGTTGTAGACAGGAATCGCAGCCAATTTCCTGTTGCCGATGTCGCGCAAATCAAGGCTACCGCTATAAACAAACTAAATACAAGTCTTGTCATACATATACCACAGTATCTTCATCTCAGCATCTTGGATGGCTTGCACGTTCTTTTGGGTCACGGCCTAAGTTTCGCTGCCGTACGTAAGTACTGGTGTAGTGAGGGTCTTACAGATCAAACCCATAAATATGACTATCATCCATTTATCGTAACGCCGGTTACTTCTGACTATTTGAGCCATGTAGCGGCTATTCGGTGCTGGATGACGCATTCCAAGTTCCCAGAGTTGAGCAACATACCCAGACAATTGTATTGATAGCACTTGGTGACTAGTTATCCGTCGATGGAAATCAGCCTGTTGTTACTTAAGTCTGAATTATTAAAAAGCATGAATATAAGAATATATGTGTTATTCACACGAAGTATTATATATTTCCGAAATGACTCGACTACTGAATCTACAAAGCAGAACAATTCCCATCCGTATGGACTGCTATTGCAAACTTCGAAAAATACTTATTCCTTAATGCACATAAAGTTTCATATTCAAATGAGCCACTGAAAACCGGCCAAGTTTTATTCATCCCCCACGATAAATCACTTACCAACAACCAATAGGTACACTAAAACGGCATAAAGCAATAAAAAGACAAACTTCTCCTACAAACACTTTGTCTGGCAATAATAATAACAATAAATTTCCCGACTGCCGACTAGCAATGCCTGAATGAGGGTGTTCCTATCACTGAAACGCTTATTCGGAATAGCTTACGATGTTCAAATCGTGTCATATCTGGATGAAATTATCCGATACCGCAATCGGGCGCGTTTTTGTTATTCTTGTTTTTGTATGCGATTTCTAGAATCAGGCGCCAGTAGATTTTGTACTACCGTAAAGTACTGTTAGCGTTAAGTGGTAGGGAAGTGGATGAGTTATCAATTCTTTATTTTCTTATTTTTATTGGTAAAGTGATTTCCACATATCATCCTGTTTCGTGATATCCTTAATAACAATTTATAGAGCACAAAAATGTTAGTGGCAATGCGATAGTCTATAATTTGGCTTTTGGTTAGGTATTGCTCCGGTGTGATTTCATTTTAATATAATTGGTACTGGACCTTGTATTCCGGAGATACGACAGAGAAATTGCTAAAATTAAATAGTGAGTAAGATATTTGAGGCCACTTTTATTTCATCTCAATAAAATGTTTTGTGCTAATAATAAATATTTTTTACGCGCTGTTTGAAATAAAATTAACCGTGCCTGTCTCCTGTTACACTTAGGATATCGGAAAGGTTCGGTAAAAGCCTATAAGGCTATTCACTCTAACTTTGAAAACGTCCAGGTAAAAATCGTTAACACCGACTTGAATTTTGAAAGAGTAACGAATTAAACGCAATAACTGTATAAAGCATTTAGCCTTTCATTACACAATAAAGTGATCGGATACAAAAACTCCGATATCGAATTTTGCACGGCTGAAAGGATACTCGCAATTTTATTTACTCCACAAATCACTCCCTCGCATTCTTTATTAGCATGTAGACGATTCTGTAGACGCAACAGGATATTTTGTGAGGGATGAAGACGCATTACGAGGGGCGTCAGCGGAGGCGTATTCGGCCCCCAGCTTAATGTGTTTACAAGGAAGTATCGATTGTTCTATTGTACTTTTATTTGACTTGGAAATTTCGCTATATCCTTCGCGAGCGTCGAGTATTGTGAGTCTTATCAGATTATAAAATGTAGCGCCTACATTCTGTTGATTGTATTCCGTAAAAGGTATAAGAACCGTATTAAATCACGAACCGATTGAAATTTTTTACTCTATATTTAGTTTTTAATTTAGTTGGGACTGCTTGATGTTAAGTTGTACTGGTTATTTTTTCGTCACAGGGTCTCCATGACAGTTTTTGAAAAAATTTTTTGTCTTTGTTTATTGTTGAGTAATAATTAGAAATAATAACGCTTATTTTTGGTATGTTATTTTCGTTTTCGCATTCGTTCCGGCGTGAAGTGATAGTGATACTTCTGCGTTTCGTCTATTGTAGTGAGGTAGCCGGGGCCCCACTTTATCAAAAGGTAGCAACGCATCTGCAACCCTACGGGTATTGCAAATATCAATGAGCAGCGGTTATCATTAAACTTCCTTACCACCTTCTGACATAAAAGATACAAATATTTTTAATTGATAAAGAAACATAACCGAAAATTCGTTTAATTTCGTTTAAGAAATACACTGTATAGTTTAATAATGTAATTTAAACTATGCAGTGTTAAATATATATAAACATATAGCGAATGCATAGAGCGAAAAAATTAAATAATTGTCAGTCCAACTGAAGTTAAAACACAAAAATTTTCAATACAATCCCATTTTCACGGTTGTGGAATAATTGTTGGTCCAATCTGTCGTCTCGACTTTAATCGCAACAACTCATAATTCTTTCCGCTCTTGCACACTTTAAAGTGGGCAATAAGGTGGTGGTATTTAATAAAACGTTGAATCCTGAGTGCGTACCTGGGTTTATTGCTATTACACCATTATTCTCCCGTTCCCTTTGCGTTCGCGGAAAGTTTTTCGTATTATCCTTAATATTTCATTTAGTGGGTTTCATCTAATACCATTACGTGTGGGGAGGCTTTCAACAAATTCTTTAAAAGCTGCATTGTTATAACGCTTGGCGGGAGACGTGATGAATTTTTGAAATGGGATCGTTTTGTGTTCATTCGTTCTGATTACGGCTGTCGTCGTGCGGGGAGTGAATTGAGGTTTCTTCTTTGAGAAAAGGTAATCATTTTTAAAGTGCATTTAGACGCGTGTTTTTGTTTTATCGTCTCAGCGGTTTAGCGTAACCCTGTATTTACGCGATTTGTTTTTTAATCCTTTTTTTCTTAATACTCAAAAATAAGGTTAAAAAAAAATAAAATAATTTTATTCTTTTGTAATTCTTCGAGAAAGTTAAAGTAGGCGATTAACACTGTTTAAATTTTTCTTAAATTGATGTAATCTATTAGACAAATAACATTTACCTGCACATGCGTTAGCGATTTTTGCTCGTAACTAAATCAAAGAACAAAAATTTCGCCACGCGACCATTGTTTCTCTGGTGTAAACGTTAATACAGCTCCGCACCATGTGTCATCAACATCTAAGGTCATGAAACGATGTCTACAAGATTACCAAACATTGAAAACATTACTATTAATGTAAACCACATGTCACATGATAGGGCTGTCAACTGTGGTGACGCGTAACGAAACAGCGCGACTGGCCGGCGACGCCTCGCGGGGCGCAGGAGGGGTCTTGTTTGCTGCGGGGGGATGTGCGGCGGCAGCCCTGGCTCTATTGGCAGGCGCGGCCGCCGCTGGCACATTGTACCGGCGCGGAAACAAAGCGAGGCACCATGACTCCATACAGTAAGTGGTTTTACAACCAGCACCCCCGTCTTCAGTCGCCATCAGGTGAAATTGTTGAGCCTTATACGCCATAGCCAAGAAAAAGGTAACGGTACGGAAACTTTAGCATGTAAGTGAGCATGTTAGCAACGAAGCTTTGCGAACAAAATTTATAGACACGAAACATGAACAATCGCCGAATCTTGTACGCCACACTTTTAGAAGGATATTGTATGATATAGAGCAGTATAATTAGTTACTAAAACCGATGTATAAAGGTCCTCATAAATGGAAATCTCTACCTATTATAGGTCACAGGCAGTAGAGTACGGATGTACGTAACTTGATAGTTAAATTATCCTCCAAAAATGCTTATGATAGTATCACGTTTTACAAGCGTCCGCTTGGTAACTACAGATATTGATGGTTTTGCCAAAAGAAATTTTTGTCGTGTCACTTTCAGCGCAAAAAATGAAACCCGCTGTAAGTGTGTCGCTTGCACTTTATAAAGTATATTGGGAGTAGCTCCTGTCTCTGGCGTGGTTGATGGATGACCGCGGGGGTGGCCTTATCGATAGATAATAAATAAACCGTCGGGGTTTAATTGCTGGCAGCCTTCGGTGTTTTAAAATGAAATATCGACGCATCGTTACATTTTTAACGATCCCAATGAATATTCACTGTTGCCTTTGAAAGTACAACTTAATATAGTTGAAGGACGTCTCGTTTGTGAATACCATAACAATACTGTTTCAATTCTGCTTCAGCCATTCCGTAAAGTTTTTCATCGTTTAAGTTACTATATATACGAATTAATACTTTAGCATGATTAGGGTGTTATATTCTTTTTAATTAGTTCAGTTTTAGATAAATTATGACTTCAACGCAATCTCGTGTCCATATGATAGACATAAAGCGAGATTACGTTCGTAACACTGATATTTTGTTCCAGTACCTCTTATACCACAGCAGCATATGGGAGCCATCAGAATGTTTTGTTGAGGCTGGACACCCTTGGTCGGCCACCCAGCTCCACCGGATCTTATGCGACGATAGCAAGCCTGCACAAATTTCCTTTTGGTGAGCTATTTTTAGCAAATAGATCATTTTTGATTTTTTTTATTTGATTTATCACAAAGGCGCATAAAACTGATTGGAATAATATTATTAGTATAATTTTTCAAGAACTAACCGCCATAGGACAGACATAGCCTAGTGTGGGGATAACAAAGAAATTAAAAAGTAACTAAAAGTACAAGTAAGTAATAAAGTTATTATTTATACTTTTGCATTACAATAAAGTAACTTGAAATCGATACGTTCAAAGTTCTAAAACGGAGTATCAACTCAACTCTTATTGCAGGAGGGGCGTTGACCACTGCATCTGTTGTTCAGCTACTGTCCAGTTATCCAGAATTTTCATTAAAAAAAACGAATTTCAATCTCTAAGCCCACTCATAACATATTTAACATATTCAATAAGCAAGTTCTTAAAACTCCGCGAGAGTCGTTAAAATTTCGCGCAGCGCAGCGTAGAAATCGCGCAAGCCGTGGAAAGAGGTTTTATGTTCAGAAAAAACATGCTAATGAATCGAACACTAACAGGAAGCCGACGCTCGCCGTCTCCGTACGCTACGACGCACATCGGAGAGCACGTGTACGCGAAGCCGGAATCCAGAGTGTCGTACTACGCCGCTTCGAACCTCACACATGTTTCGCAGGTATAACCAACTTGGCGTACCGTTTCTGTTGTGACTGGAGTCCTAACTCTCGTAAAATAGCTCGATATTGCACACTTAAGACTTGACTTTAGTCGTCCATGATTTTGTCCAACAAAGTGTTTGCATCAATCCAGTAACGTGTTTTGTCGTGACTGGAGTCCTAACTCTGATAAAATATCTCATATTGTACTCGACTTAAGACTTGAAATGGGTCGTCGAAGACTTTTGTTTGATGAAAGTGTTTGTGTCAATCCAGTATTTTAAGATACATTTGGCGCTTTCTAAGTACATTGAACAGGAATTAATAATTTTAAAACTGACGGTAGATTCGTTCATCATTGACACTGGTATGATTATTTAACATTATAGTGTCTGCATAAATAGTATACATGATCCCGTACTGTTAAGAGTCGGGATCCTAAATAAAAATCATGTAATTACAGTGTTCGCGTGAAACGTGTTTTTGTACGTAGCGTAGCACACACTTTACTTGCTCGCAGTGAGTTAAATTCAGTTTTTGCATAATGCACAAAAATAATTGCAATATTAAATACAAAACTGAATTACGCGTTATCTAATTACTATTTCATCGATATTTCTTGGCGTTAGTATCATTTTCCCAGATTCAGACATTATAAATGTTCTCATAAAGTAGCTTGCTACTAAGCATGTTTTTTTTCAAGGTAGCATAAACGATTTTTTGAGCTTTGTCAGTTCAATTTTCGATGTAACCTTCTTTTTCCGCGTGAGAAATGCTTACGTAACCTGCTACGAAGCAGGAGAGCTAAAACAATAAAACCCCCACGATACACAAGGCGATCGGAAAGCGTTCACGTTAAAATGACTATACATTGTAACGTGAACGCTTTCCGATCAATACTGGCCTCTTAAGCAGTCTCTTCTTGCAAGTCTTCGGCTGGCGGACCAGGTCTGTGGCTCTGCCACTAACCCTTTATGGCCGAGAGACAATAGTGCATCTAATACCGACACATCTCTCCCCTATGATCCCACTATTACTGTATAAGGGGTACAGTAGCCTGATTCGTGGAAGATAGAGAGTAGTCAAATACAATACCATCACTGCTTACCCTACAGTTACACCACATTCGCAGAGGACAGAGTGAAAGTTTCTACTACTCGTACCCTGAATATTTTCCCCGCATACTCGTTTCAAGTCATGTCATAGAGCCAATTCGGCCTTACAACACAGGTTGGCCCAGAGTGGGTATCTCTTGGCTTACCAAGGATGAAGAATCCATGGTCATTAAGATTCTCAGGATCAGCCAAGACTAAGCAGGAAGCTTGTCTGAGGGTATTTTCTATCTAACCTAGCCTAGCCTATGTGTAATCTCTCTCTAAAGTGACTGTGACAATGTGCTTTATCTCATGTTACAAGCTTTAGTAGTTAGTTTTACTATTTTAAAAGTTTTTTAAAATCTTTTTGTTTAAAAGTAGAAGGTTATTTGGTTGGTTTTCAAGGTTAGTTGCCGCTGTTATTAAAAAAAGTCTTGATTAGTCAATACTTAATCATTTTCTCCCTTTAATATTTATGGTACATATAAAAAAAACTAAAACGAATATAGTATAAGAAATATCTTATATTATTTAGTATATCATTTAATTATTTAATTTATACCAGTATGACATTTGTGTTATGTTTCATAAGTAAATTCGATAATATTCTTGTGTCCATACTTGTTTTACACCATAACCTGTAGGGCCGACTCTTTATTTTCCAATCTAATTGAAGTGTTAATGTTATTAAAGCAATTAAGTCTATTTATGTATTGCTGTATTATTTATAATTAACATCTTGTTAAAAAGGAATTGTTCTGTTTAGATGTCATTGATGTCAGAAATATATTTTCTTTCTAAATAGAGACTTCTATTGTACCGTTAAATTAAGTGCTTTTTCCAATTTATTGCTTAATTTTAGTAGAATTTTACTTATTTGTAGTTATTGTCGTGATAGCTCAGTGTCCGGGCGCTCACTGTTAATTTAATACATTAGCGAAACCTGAATTCAATTCCCGGTGCCGGCACCAATGAAATTGTTAATTACACTTTTAAGTGCCGACTATCACGTGCTCGGCAGTGACGGTGAAGCGGCGAGAAAACCTTCAGATTTTCCGAATAATAACAAAAAGAAAATGTTTCGAAGTTGTGTCTGCCAATCCGGAGTGGGGTCGCGTGGATGATTATGCCCTAATACTCTCTGTATAGTGTAGGCCGTTGCCCAACAGTGGGGCCTATAAAGGATGTCAATTTACTTTGCTCATTGTCATACCATAAATGCTCCATTTCTACGTTTTATTCATTGTTTTCGCAAAAAGATGCACGAAATCATCTGGAAAATTCATTTATTAATTTACTTATTTAGAATATCATTACACATTTGATGAAGTATAACAATAACACAAAAACCACACACACAAAGGAAAACACTCCGTAGAAACATTGGCGTTTTGAACAAATCGAAAAGCCTTCTAAAATCGCCCATAATAGATAAATTAGCCACCACTATGGGGTTACCGTTGATCTGGCCGGCCTTCCAAACGTTACTCGTATATTATGCACACACACCAAACACATAGACCTAAATGACAGCGTATTTACTAGTGATAATGTACTTGAACGACAAATATAGTTATTGGGATAGTGGGTAAATAACCTGAGTATGAAGATTGTGCAACATATGAATATATTTTAATATGTAATTATAATGCGAATAAAAGGTTGTGATTTACAAATAAATGGTAAAAGTTAATTAAGAATCTATTGAAACTAATGCAAAAGCTTTTGAATGTTATTGTATGTCATAATAATATTTACATAAAAGTTTTTGTTTGAAGATTGTCACGCTTTAATTATAATATAATTTGTATTTCGGAAACACATTCCGGCGATAATAATGTTTCCTTAATTCTCAAGTGTCTTTACGACTTGTGTCGCAATTATAACGTATAATAGTGTAATGTTTTACTTTTATCATTCATAACGATAATTGAATAACTCAAATTTTAATATAACTAATTTATTAAAACAGAATCCTGTTTGCTATTTATCAGTATAGCTAGTGTCTATCAAAAGTACAAATAAATAGTACCAAAATAAAAAGTACACATTTTTTAGGTTACTCAGAGTTTAATATTCTTCGAGATCATTTTAGAAAAAAGTATCAAAGCAATTTTCTACAAAGGAGTTCTTTATTTCTTAAGTTTTCTCGTCCGAGGGTGGTGTGCGCATGAAATGAGCCCTTTACCTCGTTAGAGATCCAATTTGAACCGCCTGCAACGCCACCCCTTCAGGTGATACAAACGTAATGCAATTAGTGATTTGCTTTTCACAAAGATGAAACTGACTAGATGAGCCTTTGAAAATTTAAATATGTTAGAAACAAGTACAACAACAACAAGTTTCCTACGTATTTTGTAAATAACATAAACATAAAATTCTTTAACGATCGAACTTAATTTTTCCAGTCCAATAGATTATTATCGAAAGACTTCATAGCTATTAGCGTTCCAATAGAAAAACATAAATTATTACATATTTTTGTTTTATTATATATAAAACAAAAATATGTAATAATTTGTAAATTTATCATATATTGTAAATTTATCATATATTAATGAGTAAAGCAAAAAAAATGTACCCCTTTTAAAAATAAAGGCGCGGATGGAGGATTATAAAATTTCCCACACTTATATTTTATGTAGAGAAGGAGTGCAGAATGCTCATATTTATTTTGAATGATGCATAAAAATGTATTAAATAAAAAAAAGATTACACACTAACCTACTACTACTTCATTACAAGTATAATTTATTATTGTTATAAGTTGAATACGAGATATCTAAACACACAATTCACATTTATTTACCACTACCGATCTAAACTTGCCTCTGTTAAAGATAAACAGGGTGATGTCTGTACATAAAATTGATACGCACAAATAATGTTAACGTTCTTATTACATAATAAAGGTCAGGCCTTCCAGTATATTTTACGTCTCATCTTTATTAAACTTGGCAAGGCAAAGCCTTTTTAATTTATATCCCGCCCCGACTTTGTAAATAAATTCACGAAACCGTTGCGCCTTCGTAAGGAGATATGAATTAGCCTTATTTAAGGGAGTGTCGCCAACAAAAGCTAGTTCGTTGGTGTGAAAATTGTATCTTATGTGGGAGTGAGACACAAGCTTTAATAAGGGTGTGCTATTATTGAAATAATGTTGCAATGGATGACTTCATGTGCTTCACGATTGTCGTATCAGCGCTCTGTCGCAAATAAAGTCGAGTTTCGGAATAGGAGTAATGTATATTAAATGTTCTATTAGCAGGCTGTTAAGGTAAGTAAGTATTGTAGAATATGCTTATTATAATATCATACACCAATTATCTAAATCAGACGTTTAGGTTAAAACAATGCTATGGTGTTTTTAAGTTCGTAATATACCATAGTTTTCTTTTCGTAAATATGATATGTTGTAGTATTTTTTTAAATGTAGATCACATTTAATTTCTATAGAAGTTAAATGATTCTATAGAATTCAATTCTTTATACCCTCTGTATAGAGGAGGCCTTTGCCCAGCAGTGGGACATATATAGGCTGTTACTTTACAATTATTTACTAAAAGGAAATTGAATCTTGTTACCAAAATATTGGTATTGTATAGATTGAGAAACATTTTCAATTTTCCGACATTATTTATATGGGAATGTGATATAATAAAGAGATGAAAGAATTCTTAGTAAGCCCATATCTATGTCGAATGGTCATGACACTGTAATGGCATCAGTTATAATGTGTACAAAATTTAAATGTTTGAATTGAACGTCTGAGTCGTTATTTAAACTTAATTGAACATATAAACATAGGAACATATCAGACAGACACAGATGAGATCATACACAGATGAAGACAATAAATTGAATATGTATAAGTTAAAAAATCTTAGAATTTGTTAACACCGTTAATAAATATTAAAGTTTTTTTTATAGTGCTAATCTCTGCACTTAAGATAGAACATTAAAACATGTAGAAAAAGTACGAAAAGATTGTCGCCGCTGTGGAAAACCGTTAATAATCCAGTTTATGAGTCGAACGGATATCATTTTTGAGGTAATAAAAGAAGATAACCAAGCGACGGTATTAAACAAAATCGTCTCTTTAATGTGTTTTCTCCCGTTGCGAAAGCTTCGATAACTTTACTGGTTATACCGTAAGCAAAGTTTGCCTTGCTTACTTAACATCCAATACAAGTTTGAAACAAAATTCAGCTTCAGAACTCGATTAACGATATCGTTCTGCATCTCTAGAGCGGGAAAATTCAATTAGTTCCTTGCACACCTGACTGGTGAATGAAGGCGCGACATGCACAGCGATGGGCTGTGAAGTGAAAATAAATTCACTAGTGAATTAAATAGTGACGCTCACTCGTAACTTACTTTTAAAAAATCGGTATAATACGACACAATGTAATAAATTTATTTAGTGTGGGGTTTTACCGTTATATTTCGATCTGTAGGATGTTCCTAATATTTTAATGTCTTGTGACTTTATTTTCAATGTAAAATTTTTACGTATGGCAATAAATAGAATCAATCAATCAATCAATCAGCCTTTTGCAGTCCACTGCTGGACATAGGCCTCCCCAAGAGTACGCCACAGAGTACGATCTACTCTACTCATCTACTCATCCAGCCACTACCAGCGACCTTTCTCAGGTCATCGGTCCACCTGGCAGGGGGACGTCCGTTTTCCGAGACGTGGTCTCCATTCGAGAATATGTCTGCTCCAGCGCTCATCGGTTCTACGACAGATGTGGCCAGCCCACTGCCACTTCAGCTTGCTACACTTACGGACTATATCCATAACTTTGGTCCTCTGCCGGATAATTTCGTTTCGGATTTTATCCTTTAGCGAAATACCGAGCATTGATCTTTCTAATGATGTATTTATATTCTGAGGTAAATAGACGTCTACTACTATTCTATTTATAGACATCTTATATTTTTACCTCCGGCGTTTTCTTAAATCGGCATATAATATTGTATTTCTTAATCATAACTGTATATTTTAAGGCCAAAATTTCCAATCACGGCTTAAATTACAAGTTGTTACTATCTCGTTTACAGATAACTATGCACAAACAATCAAACGCATTTCACCTCTTTATATTAGTGTAGATAATGTACCGTGTAATTTAGTTACCTTTGCGCGTGTGCATTCGACTGCTCACCAGCTGTGTTCAGACTCAGAATATAGGTTTAAAACAACACAAGTTTAAAAAGTTGGCAAATACATGCAGCCAAGTAAGCAACATAATTAGTATTTTAAAATGTACACACTTTCTGTTCATAATTATACTCACGCAGAAATGCAATAACGAATGCACATCAAAGTTTTCTGATCTAGAAAATTTATTTTCGATTCTATTTGAATAGTTTATAAATGTCGCAAGGACTAATGTACATTAGAAATGATTTGCCATGATTCTTGTTTAAAGAAAGTGAGTTTCAGACTATAAAAATATACGTTGTTGTCGTACTACTTTCTCATACTGAACACGCTAAACGATCTATTCGAACACGACGTAATAAAAACAATGTTCGGGTTGACTGGTAGAGAATGCCAATAGGCATTAAGTCCGCCCTTTGGAACCCTTTCGAGATGTTTTCAATAAAGAATAAATAAATAAATAAATGTTCCACGTTGATTTTCATAGGTGTTCATTCACTTCCGTTTTGTTTGCACGATTGATAGCAAACTACAAAGGATCGAATAACGGACCCATCGGAGCAACTCCGCCACCTCACCGCCCCCCGCTCTAACATACGGCTGGAAATTCTAATACACGAGGGCACGTTTGGCAGAGTTTACAAGGGAGTGTTCAAGCGAGGGGACACTTACGAGGAAGTAATAGTGAAGACTGTATCAGGTAAGTTAGTTCTGGTTGAATACTCTTTGTACACGGTGTATTCCTTGTTCGTGTTCTTCGATATCCAAATACATTAATTATATAGTAATAGCTGTTGAAACAAAACAAAACCGGCAATTTCATTCTGGATGATTGCTAGATCGTTGTCTTGACTTTGCTCGTAATATAGAAGTTAGATAGTTGTAAACGGATATTTATTATCGGCATCAAATAGCTTGAATGTAAATAGTTTAGGTGGACAGCTATTATGACATCTTTTTCACTACTAACGTTTTATGAATAAATTATTTAGGGAGTTAATGTCAAGTAATGGAACGTAAATTGATCGGCGATGACGATTTTGACTACCATTACTATGAATCATCGATAATTGTTGACGCCAGTGAAACATAATATTGAAAATAATAGTATCTCTTGCGTGTTTGTCAGCGCAATTTTCTCTGGTATCAAATAGAATAATGATAGAAAATTACAGACTGGAATTTAATAACGCGGTGGTTCTTGTTTATTGGGTCACGCTTCATTAGAATACTGTGAATATACTGTTTGGGCTAATTTATACCAGGAAATTTGAATGGTTCATCGATTTAAATACGTGTTTTTAAAATAATGTTATGCTACTACATAGTTCTACAAGGTACATATGTTTTATATGTTACAGTTGTTGCTTTACCGTCGCAGCAACTGTGACAGTTACACCAACAGCCTAAATTGATAGAAAAGTATGTTATATTCAGCTATTTATTACATCGTTTCTTTTAGAAGCCGCGTCTGCTATGCAAGCCGCCTTGTTTGTCGCAGAGGGTCTTAGATTGTGTGGATTGGCCCATGCTAATGTACTGGCGCCAATGGCCGCTTGTGCGGAAGAAGCTCGTAAGCCACTTCTGGTCTACTGCTGCGTTTCACATTCGTCCAATCTTAAAAGGTGACACTTCAAATTATCTTAATTTCTTTTATAGCATCATTTTTAGGCATTAAAAAATTATTGTATTGTATTTATTTATAGTTATAGAACTATAAATAAATACAGGGTGGCTTTTCTAAGTATATCCATTTTTTTTATTAAATTCTAGACATAAATAATGTTATATAAAAATTATAAATATTTAAAATCACTGGTAAGTAATTAATAACATTCATTTGAATTTATCTCAAAAAGTGTGTGATTTATGGGCAACTCATTTATTTTACGCGCGATCATTCATAACTAACAGGCACACAAGTTAGTGCACAGTAAAATTTAGGTATTTATGAATAACTACCGCATTGTCAACACGTTCTATTTTTTAGGGAATAGAATGGCATTTTTTTTTGGAAAAAAAACTTTGCTTTTTATTTCAATAAACGATTATACTACCGAGTCTGAACCTCCTGTGTAAATTTGGGCACTTCTCAAAAAATCTCCCTGTATAAATATTTCGTAAACATAAATACTTGAGTTTAAATTAAAAAGTTTTGACTATCATCCAGCTTAATAAATTCATGACGCTGTCAAATTTCGAGCCTCAGCAGTACGCCGGACGCTTGCTCCACAATTCATACACAAGGAACAAGTAAACTTCACCCCAAGTCAAAGAATTAGTAATTGCGGTTTTCAACAACAATGAAGCTCAAATCAAGAAACTATCACATTTTATGTAATTATGATTAGAACAACAAATGATCGATGCAAAGTAGGCTAATACAGTGTGGATTTAACAGCTTACTACGTAAGCCGGTATTAGCTAAAATCCGTTTTAATCCTCGCTATCACACATGTCCATAAAACTTATGTACAGTGATTTGTCAATAAAGCGGAAAATAAGTGGGAACTTATCAGAAATTCGATCGATATCTACGACCAAGTACCGTTCAATTTTTATACGATAAAATCTAAACCTTGTTCTTGTGTATGTACTATGTACGATTAGATAGATGATCATTGATTCACATGAAAAGTTTTCCTCGCAGGTTCCTAATCTCGTGTCGACTCGGCCACCAAACGACCCCAGCCACTAGAGAGCTAGTCGACTTGGGCGCTCAAGCGGCTTGCGGCCTTGCTTATCTGCACGTACAGCGAGTGGTACACGCGGACGTCGCTGCCAGGAATTGCATGTGAGCCAAAAGGGATCAACTTATAGAACGGCGGTGGGACCGCGCAGCAGCCTCGGCTGTTGCACGAATGGGCAGGCCCGTCCGGGTAAGTACCACGACCTCACAGAAGACCGGCGTAAAGTGGAACTATAATACTTTAGCGTTTCGTCCGGTGAGTGAGGTGGCCGGAGCCCGATTACCAAAAAGGTCAACGCATCTGCAAACCCTCGGGTGTAGCAGATGTCCATTGGCGGCGGTATTCACTTAACATCAGGTGAACCGTCTGCTCGTTTGGCAACGTTCACATGAAAAAAAAACTTTTTCTTATTTTAGTACATGGCGTGCATCGTGTCTTTGAAGAATGTGATTACATCCTGTTTAAAATGATGACTTATAAACAGACATAAGCTGTCAAGTGAAATAGTGAAATAGTAAAATCTTTGATATGTCAACGTCGGTGCGTTTTTTATTTAGTTTGTAATTTTATTTAGTTTTTTCAGGTTTGTACTTCATAGCTTTGATTTGCTTTATTACACTTAAATGTATATTTATTCCATAATTTTTTTCAAGTGTTACTCTACCGTGTAGTACTTTTTAGACAATGATCGTTAAATTAATTTAAAAAACGTTATATTCTTTTCCTTTTTTGGTTTTATGTTTTTTAGCTTGTACTCGTCGAAGCTTAAAAATCTACGAAATATTGTTGGCGATATGATTCATTGACGCTTTCAAACACGTTGAAATGTCCATATCAAATTTATTAGTTACCGTTAACAGGTATATTGACGACCCGAATGGCGTTGTGGGAACTGTACCTGCCTCCTGCGCTAGAGGGTGTGGGTTCGATCCCCACTACTGAAAAAATATTGTGTGATGAACTTAGTGTTTTTCTAGTGTCTGGGTGTCTATATATGTATTTATTTACGAAAAAAAAAGTATGTTTAAGTATGTTTATCAGTTATCTATTACCCATAGTACAAGCGTTGTTTAGTTTGGGACTAGAGAACGCCGTGTAAAACTGTGACCTAAATATTTATTTATTTATATATTATGTTGCGCAGTGTGGACGAGAAACTGAGACTGAAGTTGACGGACAACGGTCTGTCGCGGGACCTGTTCCCCGACGACTATCACTGTCTCGGCGACAACGAGAACCGACCGGTGAAGTGGATGGCCCCGGAGTCGCTGCTGCAGAACCAATACTCCACGGCCTCGGATGTGGTGAATATTGACATCATTATGAGATTCGTGCGCAGTTTTTGTTTTGTTACACCGAAGCTACTTAGACAAGGAAATTTAGAGTACATTGAGGAAGAAATATATTTTATTCTTCGAGTGTGTTGCTTGAACAAGGTGGTTTTTTTATAACATTTAAAGATTCATGTATTCGATTTTAAATTTTCTGTTTCAATTTTTTTTCAAATAAATTGTCAATTTATCAAAATTTTTAAGAATTAAAACTAGAGCGAATTAATACAGTCAATAGGTATTTTGTAATAAGAAGTAAGTAGTAATAAAGTAATTTTCGATTCAACGCTTTGGATAAGGTGCTATTAACTCTTGCAACCTATTAAGACAATCTATCCAATAAATATATTGTTCTGTAAAGTGTATTCACTTAAACTATACACAATAGTATATTTAAGATGACACAAGATTCCAAACACAGTGGTCTCTGGGAATAACGATCTGGGAGCTAGCTACGTTGGGCGCCGCGCCTTTGGCAGAACTGGATGCAGCCGACGTGGGGGCATTTCTCAGTGGAGGTTACAGGCCATCTCAGCCGCATAACTGCCCAGATGAGCTGTGAGTATGGCATTCGGATAAAACATAAAAAGTAAAGTGACAGCGTCTGAAAGTCCCACTGGTGGGCAAAGGGCTCCTCTGCTTTGAGGGTATTGGGGGTGTCGCGCACCACTCCTTCAGAGCAGAGCACTGTGGATTGGAGGAGTTCACTTCTTGGATCTACTTTTTTTTTGTTAATTTATTAAAAAACATGCAGGTCTCTTCATGATGTTTTCCTTCACCGCTGATCACGTGATAATTCGGCACCTAAAATTAACAACATTGCAGCGGGATTTGAACTCAGGTTGCTCGTATATATTGAATTAAAAGCGAGCTGTCGAATACTGAGATATCACGGCTCGATAAACGTTCTAGATTATTTTAAGGTTTATCATTAGGCACTGCTGGATAAAGGTCAATACTTATTTTTAGGGCATTACCTGCGACTGGACACAGATTGACAGACTTCACATATCTCCGATTTTTTATTATTTTGATGGCATGCAGTTTTCCTAGCTATGTTTTCCTTCATTTCATAATCGGTATTTAAAATTTCAATTAACAAATGACTAGTCAAAAATTATTATTTTAAAGTTACAAAACTAAAATACGTTGACAAACATAGAATTGCAAAGGAAAAAACTGAACTCATTTCTCCTGTGCTATTGAAATTTAATTTTCAAAGTTAGTGCTAGTCTCTGCACTTAAGATTAGACGTAAAATATGTAGATAAAATTCAAGCAAAAACTGCCAAACATTGATGAAAACGCAATGAAATAGTGGATAAGACGTTCTGATTTTGGTACCGTGAGAATATCGCCTGCAGACTTAGTAACTAGAACGTCAGGACGTAATCCGGAAGGCGCAGTTTAGAATCCTGCGAAAAATTATTTAAGCCCAGATCACGAATCGATATCACAATCATTATGGTGATGTATAATTTTAAACAAGATAATGTATTCATGAACAGGTACGGGCTTATGTCTTGGTGTTGGACCACGATGGCGCCAGGACGTCCCACAGCGCCTCAACTCTTAGCTGCCCTCCACGATTTTAGGCAAACACTTAGCACTTATATATAAATATTTGAACAAATCGTAAGTGCCGTCTCAAAAACTAAATTTCTCTATTTTTAGGACCACTTTCTCGTTCTAATCTTCGTCAATGTTTCGAATCTCTTTTTAGATTACTATTAGGCTGTAGTACTTGATGTTTCGGATAGGTAAAAATATTGTATTTCTTCTTTTATTCTTAACTTCTACTAGAAGATTCCATTTAATTTCCTTCTTATACCAAAGTGCCTGTGACAACATGATTAAACGATATTTAATTTTTAGTATTACAATTGTGTCAAATATTTTCCCGCTTCTCAAATTCAAGCAAAGAATTTTATTTCCTCAAAATTAATTTAGAAAAAAATGTTCGAATGGATGAGAATAACAAAATCCATTCATTGAATTTTGAAATAAATAATGAAAAATGAAATAAATTTAATGGAATTAAGATATAAAATAATTTTATTACTTACCGTAAAACTAAGGTAAGTTATGTGTCGGAATTATAGACTGTATATTATTAAGTTATTTATTCATGTGTGATATTTTATTAGATAAGTGTGTTAATGTGAGGTTAGAAAAATACGAGTTGGCATCTCATTGTGTATTGGTTGAAAAGCTAAAAAGAAAGGATAAAAGGCGTTTTGCATCGATAAGGGGAATTCATAGAATTCGTTCCAGTTTTGATGAGTGATGTTAGGTAATGATAACCCGTCTAAGAAGTAGACTTAACTGGACCTTTATTAGTAAAATGATAATTAAATAAGCGGTCAAATATACTTTGTCAGTGGATCTACCTCTAAGAACAGTTTAAGTACGTGTTCTTGAATCCTTCATTCCTGACTGAAGAATAAAAATGTCGCAAAGATTCAAAAATAGCATCCAAGATTAGAATTAAGAAAATGTAAATAACATACATAACATAAATCGATGAAAAGAAGGTAAGACTAGAAATATAATTGTACATAGGGAGTCGATGAGATGGAATTTATTTTTAGTCAAGCTAGACGCTACGATATAATTCTAGTATTCATTATCTTTATAATGTATGTTTAGGATAGAGTTCCTGAGGACATAAAAGTCCGTCCAGGCCAGCAAGGATCAACACCAAAACAGTAGGTAGTAGTGGAGTAAGTACTGAAGTGTCTTCGCCAATCTTTGTGCTCAATGTTAGAAAACGCAAAGATTTCTTGAATTCCAACTTCAGCAACTCCACGAAAATTAATATGTCTATTATATCACAAATTATGCATAGAAAGCATACTATTAAATTAAATTAATTAATTAATAGTGATTGTAGGGAAATTCTTTGTAAATAATAAAATTATTGCCACTTAATAATGAATGCTAAATTTCGTCGAAACTTTCCATGCTATATCGTTTTGTATCGACGGTAATTGAAATAATGAACTTCAGATAAGCGGTTAACAAGTTACTACACTTAACTTTATCTGTCTTTTACAAGTGAAACACTTTTTGCTCCACACGTCCAAAACGTTATGGAAAGTTATTATATCTCTATGTTACTAAAGTAACATAATATAATATCGCACGCTAGATATAAATACCACGAGGCATAAACCTAAACGTAGTAATCGTTTTGAAACTTCTTACTGAATGTTGTCTGTCAAATTCAAGATAAATATCAACGAGATGTTGTTTTGAATCAGTAAATAGGTATGTTTTTTCAGTAATTTTGCAAGCTATCCTTTAGTTTCTTGAAGCTTTCACGTTTTCATTTAGTATGGCCAATTTTAAAAGAGAACTTGAATCCATGCGATTTAACAATCACTTGGATTTGTTTACGTTTGCCAATGTCTTAGATTTTGACATTTATTAAAATATACGTGTATTATATCTAAACGATTGTATTTATAACACGTTATGGATGATACAGGGTGGTTTAACACTAGGCATTATAATGCAATGTAGCGTTCATAATCGAATTGTATTAATTGTTATTTTGCAGTTCATTTGGCGTTAGCTTACAACTTTTCTAATGAATAATGATAACTTACGCAATCTACATAATTATGTATCTCTCGTTTAATATGTAAACTTAATGTAATAATAAATGGTTCGCCGTTCCAAATGATAGAAAACTTGTGCAATACATAGGTCGCTAGGCTGCTTGCGAACGGGATTTTTTTCTCATAATCACGTTTGGGATGATTTTTCGTCTTAATGTTTGTCAATCGCATAATTAAGAAACACTATTTTCTTATTATAATAATCATGATTACTGTGTACATGGATTTTAGTCATGGGATACCAAAGAGAAAAATAATTAAAGTTGATTTTTACTCGATTATTGTTTTAATGTAACGTTTTTGTTTATTATTAAATATGTATAGGTACATGGATTTTTATTTATTATGCAATACATACACGTTTTTGTTTGTTATTAGATAGACATACATTCTCCCCCTACATGAAATATTTGTGCAAGAATTTGCATGTAAATGTATAATTGGAAAAGCGGATGTTTTATAACTGTGTCATTTTTAAAAATCTGAGTGCCAGATGAATGTAATTGTACGTTAAATGTTATTGATGTCTTTAAATAATAACGAATATTATGTATTTGTTCAACTAGCATAAGTGAATGTATTGTATTATGTATCCGATATGGCTTCAGTGACAATTATAAAGAACAAAATAAAATGTTATTTTACTGTACACAGAAACGTTTCTATTATTTACATCCTTTTTTTTTACCCTGTTAATTTTAAAATTGATTTTTCAATTTATTTTCTTCTATTTACTGATATTCACATCATAGTATTACTATGATATGTATATAAATCAGTCTGTCTGTCTTAACCGTGATACAATTTCTAAAATAAGTATGAATTATTTCTTGTTCATAACGTTGGGTGAACCATACTTTTTAAGATGGACATAAGCGTACTAAGCCCTCACTGACAATTCTTTTGTGAATAAAGTGGTATTTTAAAGTTGCACTTTTCGCTTAAGAAATTGTCGAGAAATAGGTATCTGTTTTTGTTTATCTTTGTAATTTCGGTAATAGAAAAATATTTATTTTATTATAGAATACAGTACTACCCTTTACATTTTATAAGCCGTATAAGAGTTCAGTGCTACCAGTAGTTTTATTTTGGACAGTGGTATTACATAAAAACAGCACTGCCACATCGAACACGTAGACAAAATGTAGGTTACCACTTTTAAAAAAATGACCTATTGAAAATATCTGAGCTTTCGAACGACCTTATAAGGTTAAGATGTAGAAACTAAGAGATATGTTATGCAACGGCCGAGGCTGCTGCGTGGCCCTACCACAGTTCACTGCAGCATGGACAGGACCTAAGGTCAGATGAATTGAACCTGCATCCCGGAGGACTCAGGTTCAATGTTTGGTGACATATAAGGCCTTAGTTCCCGTCTATGCTGCGGTGAATATCGCCTTAGAGAAGTGGAACATAACCCTAAGTCTTGCTCTAATATATTTGTGATATTTACAAAATCGTAAGCATTTTTATGAGAATTAACAATGGATAAAAGAAACCGGTTACAGAATTTTGAGCAACGACCACGTAGATGCGTAAATGCTTAGTTGTACAACGGATCGAGATCGCGACGGGAGGCTAAATAAAATTCCACTTAACTTGTTGTCCGGCCCCATGTTGCTCGTTGGGATGCCGACTTAATAGCTTTGGCGCCGCCGAGTTCATTTAAGTGTATCGCAATGTTCGCCTCGGTCCAGTTATGAGCTCAGCAATTTTGGCTTTTGGCACCGCCCATGAAACCTTTTAAGTTAACGTGTTTATGACAAAAAAGTATCCCTAGTGAACGTTATCGCCGATGCAGAATAAGATAATCGTGTGTTGTAGACGTGTATTACAATTGCACGTAAACCGTCTGTTTGTCTCCTTATTGTATTTCCAGATCCCTTTAGTTATAGATAATATTTATCTATAACTAAAGGGGATAAAATACTTTTCCGGGTCAGGGTCGAATTCGTGACACGGAGCTTTTCTTTTGCTTTTAAACTGAGCCAAAGTCGTTTCAAAGGCGTTAATGTACTGTTAAATGCACAACAGATGAATTAATAAACAAAAAGAAATGTATGGTACTAGCTGACACCCGCGACTTCGTTGACGTGCCTTATGTCAACAGAAACAATGTTTTTTATGTGCAGAGGAAAACACATCTAAAACACCGGAAACGAAAATATACAATTTTAATATATATTTTAATAAATCTTATAATATAAATATACGTATTTGTGTCTGACATTAGGGAGAAGTAGAAGAGCACTATTTAAATAATTGCGTTGTCATGAGTCTTTGGCGAGTGTGCAAGGTTTGATTCAAATCTGATCGTTCAAAGTGGGGCAAAATCACGTTTATAGATTCCGTTCCATACATATATATATACATGTATAGGTAAAACTATGCGTGTTTAAACTATGCATACATTTTTTAATAAGTGTAGAAATAAATTATAAAAGAATTAATTGAAATCTCTCCAGTAATATTCCGCGATGCGAGCACAACGGCAGAACTGTATCATTTTATTTATATTGATTAATATAGTATGAATGAGGCTATACCCAAAATTTTTTTTTCAATTTCTTTTTTTGAGGTGTCTCAAATCGCCTCCATGGGAAACCACAAAAGACCGACGAGAAGTGTATTATATTATACTTGTTGAGTACAACGTATATTCCACGCATACACTTTCAGATACAGCAGTGGATTACGGTTGTTTGTGTAAAAATATATCAATTTATAGAAGATTAACTTTGACTGTATAAATTATGTAACTGTATCATAATTATTACGCCAAGCCTATATCAAATAACTTATTTCAATCCAGAAGGAGATGGTTGGGTATTTTATACACTAACATTACAAGTCCTAAAGATCCTATAAGCTCATTTTTCATAGATGCAACGACATTGCAAAAGAAATTATAGAAATGAAACGTGATAAAACTATAAAAGAGTTTTATTTATTAAATACGAAATTAAATTCTAGTAAATTCAAAAAAAGAAAAAA